CAAGCAGCACGGTGGCCGCCCAGCCCGGCGAGTCCTGTTGTAGGGTGTCCTGCTGCACAGCCCGGAGAGCAGGGTCAGTCAGGGGCCGCCCTGGGTGGGCCTGCTCATCTCACCCTGTGTTCTCTCGCTCACGCATCCAAGGGTCCTGCCATGCCTACTGTGCGCCAGGCACTGTGCCAGGAGGCGGGGCACAGCGTCCCTCGCGGAGACGCCCCTGTGGCGGCTCATTCACCAGGTTAGGAAGGAGGACAGGTGGCCGGGACCCGGACGCTGGCCTGAGGGGATGAGCCCGCACGTCCCTCTGCCCAGCGGAAACCGGCCCAGGGCTGGGCAGCTGGTTCGTCCCAGCCTGGGCCCCACGTGTGGCTCAACGGCACGGGGTACACGTGCACCTGTGTACGGGGCAAACCCGCCTGCTCCTGGGAGCCGATCGGCCCGGTCTCTAGGCTTCACGTCCACCCAGCTCAGTGGGGATGACGACTCTAAACTGTTACCAGCCGGGTCGGCGCGGCTCAGGGGTTGAGCGTCAACCTATGAACCAGGAGGTCACGGTTCGATTCCCGGTCAGGGCACAGGCCCGGCTGCGGGCTCCATCCCCAGTGGGGGGTGTGCAGGAGGCAGCTGATCCATGATTCTCTCTCCTCATTGATGATTCTATCTCTCTCCCTCTTCCTTCCTCTCTGAAATCAACAAAAACATGTCTTTTAAAAAAAGGGAAGACCAGCCCCGGTGGGTGCCCAGCCCCGCCTCACCCCGTGACCGTGGGGCAGCCCCTCACGCATGCCCGTACCCCCCTGCCCTGACAGCAGCCAGCACGGCAGCCACCCGCCTACACCCGGCACCATCGTCCCAGCATCGCGTGGGTCGGGTCCTGCGGAGAGTGACACAAAACCCAGGACACGGCTGGTTCTCTCTGGGGGGCGCCGGCCCCACCCCAGGCAGCGCCCCTCGTCTTCGCCGGCTCGGGGGACCAGAGGGAACAGAATCAGAACGGGGTGCAGCACACCTGGGCTGTGGCAGAGGCCCAGGCGGGCTCATCATCTTTTCTTTGGTCCCATTGGCCAGCACCTAGTCACATGGCCAAGCCTCGCTGCAGAGAATGCTGGGAAATGTAGTCTTTCTCCTTGGTGGCCATCTTCTTGGGAAGAATGGGATTTTACAGTCAATTTTAGATTAGGTATTAGATTGTATTCGCATAGAATCCAGGCTCCTCTGCGGCCTGCCTCCCGCTTCAGCCCGAGCGCGCCCCTCCTGCCCCTCGTCCACGCCCTGCTCCTCCCGTGACCTCCCGCTGACCCCCGTCACAGGTGACACCATCACCCCAGCTGCTCCGTGGGAACTGACATCCCCGAGTTGCTCCCTTTCCTTGGCTCCCACGGCCACCACCGTGTCTGGGCCACGGCCACGGCCTGAGGACGGCACCACCACTCGCCGCCCAGCACCCAGCCCATTCCTGCCTCCTGCCCACACCCTGATCTGCAACGGGCTGCCCCTCTATGTTAGACCCGCGGGTGCCAGGGCCCTGCTTGCCCACTGCAGGGCTACGGACACGGACTGCACACCATGGCCTGGGCCCCCCAGAACCACCCTCTCAGGAGGCCCTGCCCACCGCCCATCAGGTGCTGCCCACAGACACCCAGATCTGGTCTCCTGCTTTACTCCCCAAGGCGACTCACTGTTGCCTGTCCTACTCGTGTCCTTGTATTGTGTGTGTCCCCAACCAGATGGACGCAGTCAGGAGCGCGCCTGCCTCTCTCACCGCGGGGTCCCCAGAATTTAGAGCAGTGTCTGGTACAGAGAGCAGCTCCATCAGGTGGTAGTGGGGTATTAACCAGGGTCACCCCAATAAATTCAATTTTTAAAAAGGGGTGGTAAGTCCTAGCCGGTTTGGCTCAGGTTCAATTCCAGTCAAGGGCATTAAAAATTAAAAAAAGGTTGGTAGGGAGACACAGAAAAGACACAGAGATGGAGAGATAGGGAGAGAAGGGAAATAAAGAGAGATAAAGATAGAGAGACAGAGATAGAGCACAGAGATGGAGAGATAGGGAGAGAAGGGAAATAAAGATAGAGAGACAGAGATAGAGTGAGAGAGATAAAGATAGAGATAGAGAGAAATAAAGATAGAGAGACAGAGATAGAGAGAGACAAGATAGTAGCAGAATTGTGCCCCGCCCAGGGTTCCTCTTACACTCTCACACTCTCCCCCACCCATGAGCACAGGTGACAAGGGAACCCCTCTTCTGTCCACCTTGCTGACGAGGCTGCCCATGCCCGCGCCTCCCTGAGGATCCACAGGGACAAGGGGGAGGCGAGGCTATGCTGACCCGGCCCACAGGGTGGCTCCGCCCACCCCATCCCAGGAGACCCCTCGAGAGGCCCTCCCCAGGCTGGGCTCCCGTGGCCCTCGGCCCCCTGACCCTGGGAAGCCCCTCCCACAGCCCTGGCCCAGGCAGGCCCAAGGCCCACAGACCCCAAAGGCCTCCCCAAATGTCAGGCTGTGGGTCAGAGTGAGCAGGGCCCAGGGACCGAGAGAGCGGGTGGAGGCCAGGCCACCCCGTGGAGGCCCCTTCTGCTCTCTGATCCTCGGGCCTGGCCCCCACCCCTCCCAGGAGGGCACACGCCCACGGGGGAGGAGCGTGGGCAATAAAGGCAGGTGACACGGCCACGGGCCACAGGGCCTCCTCCTGAGACACAGGTAAGAGCACAGTCTCGCTCGCAAAGGCGCCCGGAGCAGAGGCCCGGTGACCCTGGGACTTTGCTCTGCTCCGTCCGCGGCAGGAACACGCCCGGCACCGGCGCCT